GCCCTCTGTGGCCCAAAGTTAAAAACTGTTGTTCTTCTGAGGCCCTCAAGGTGGCGCTGTGGCCCACAGGTTAAGAATCTTTGAGCTAAACAACAAAAATCTGAGCTCCTGTGTTGAAAAGTTTTTGAGTTATAAACAACTTTATTAMTTCAGACACCCRCTTTTTAGATGGAGCCCCCTCATCCAATATGGGGTGTATTTTAAAACTGTTGGCGGTGCAGTGRAGGTCAGACTCATCTACWGTCCTGACTAACTTCATGTTGATTGGCGCAGCTGTTTTTMTGCTCCGGTTGACTAAAAATCACTGGAAAAACATCAAAAGATGAGCCCTGCCTTGCAGGCGGAGGTCCTGTAAAGATGGCGGATGAGGAAGAAGCCATGGCAGCAGTTTGTGGATGATTTTTAACAGAACAGGATGGAAAACCCAGGGCCCGACTTACTGCTGATCACACAAATTAAACTGTTTAGCGGAGCTATAAATTTGTCTTTTACCCAACCTGTTTGTGTGATCGTTCTCCAGCAGGGACAAGAAGCAGCCGTCATCCTCTGGTTCTGGTCCTGGCTCTGGTTCTGGTGTTGCACCCTCAGGTCTGGTGGGTCGATTCAAGAATGGCATGCTGCTGCTCAGCCCCAAGGACATCCAGAAAATCAAAGGCCACAAGTGACAGAGGTAGGTACAGGTCAGAGAAACGAGTGCTACACAGAGCCTAGGTTTTGTTTTAGCGATGAAGTCGTCTAAAATTTGACATTTGTGTTTTTTCAGGAGATTAAATCTGAGTCAGGATTGAAAATCTCATCACTCTTCAGGAGAAAAAGGACTCTGCTCACTTCAGCTTCACCCCACAGATAAATGTGAAACATGGAACACTGTTAGGATTTGTAATCCAGATTATCGACCCTTAAACCTGAACTTTAATGTGTTGGAAGAACTGCAGAATCTGACAGATTTAATTTGTTATTAATCACCTCAAATTGAAAGATTTTAATCTCTTGTTTTTTATTTTTTTAATCTATAAAACATGTAGCGGGGCAGCAGGGACAGAGTCAGAAAAACGACACAGTCGAGGTAATTTATTTTCATAAAGAAACATATTTKCATCATGAGGAAGCTGCTGCAGTTCTGTTGTAAAAACATTTATTTTTACAGCTTCAAGACGTTGAAACGTAAACAGAAGATTTTACAGAAACTTGGTCTTTGAACTTCTTGTTGAAGGGAAAATGAAAGTTGTTGAATTAAATAAAATAAAGATGGTGAAAGAAGAGCACTGACCTGGCAGTGTACGGCTGAGGGAGGTCACAGTTTCTCACTAAAGTCTCTTAAAGCAGCTTTTTAAGAGACGCAGGACTTCATCACATTTCAAGCTGTTTCATCTTTACGGCGTTTTGCAGACGAAACGTTATTTTTTTCTGCAGCTCTTGGTGAATCGCCACCAGCAGCCGTTTAGTTTTTACATTAAATACATTGAGGACAATAAAAGGAAAGGTAGAAATAAATATTTTAAAGGAAACATCCACACAGTTTGTTGTAAATAAATCACATATTTTCTGCCATATTTAAGGTAATGATATAACGACGGTAATGACATGCTTTGTCCCAGCACCGTGTGCTAAAGGTTAAATCTGAAGAATAAGTCACATTCATGGGTGGGCGTCAGGGAACAGGACATGCTGAGCAAGCACACTTAAAACTCACACTTATACAGGAGGGGGGGCGTTAAATATGTTTTCAAAATCTAAAACTATCCAAACCTCAGCCACATCTTAAATCTGAGCGATGGTTATTCCATCAAATCACTGAGCTGGTGCAGGTTAATCAGAGGGAGAGGAAAGGTTTCCTGCTTTAAAGACAACCTGAGAGCACTGTGCTCCTCTGGTGTGTGAGCTGAGGAGGCTCAAACTTTTCATGCAGATTTAGACTCCAGTTGGAAATCTGTCAGCCATGTTGGCAAGAAAAWATCCCTCCTGGCTTCAGTGTTTGATTTCTACAGAGCCCGCGAAGTGACACAGGAGATTCGTTTTCTTTTTGCCTTCCCACACAAAACTCATTTATCACTGTTGTGCTGCCGGTTTATTAACAAACTCACATGTTCACCATTAGTGAGTTAGCCTACTGCTTTAATTCAGCTTCAGAATGAATATATCACACAGACACACATGGAAGTATGTCATATGTTGATATTTTAACACAGTGCAGCCACGCAACATCAATGTCATTTTCACGAACTTGTGGCGACACATCCTGTTTTGGTAACTGGATATTTCAAAATAAAAGTCTTGTTCAATTCAGTTCATGTACAAATCAAACTTTTGCGTGGCAACACAAAAGTATTGCGTGGTAACGCAAAAGTATTGCGAGGTAACGCAAAAGTATTGCGAGGTAACAAAGATATTGCGAGGTAACGCAAAAGAAAAAAATCTCCCCATGTCCCCTC